TGTGTACTAGAGGGGATGGAATATGGAGACAGTTTTTTTTTTTTTTTATCTCTTGGTACTGGGGATCAAATCCAGAGCCTCACACGTGCTAAGCAAGTAGTCTGTCACTAAGCTACAACCCCAGCAGGAGACCAGTTTTTAAACTGTGTTTCCGGTCCTGTTAATTATACAGGACAGTGATTCGAAAAGTTGCACATGCATCAAAATCACCTGAAGAGCTTGTTAAAAACCTAGAAATAGATAATGCTTCTCAAGGAAATCATGTTAGTGAGGAGATGAAGGCCAAGTGTAGAACACAGGAAGTGCCTGTACATAAGGGATGGGTGGAACATAAAGGAATTCATTCCCAAAGAATGAGGCAGGGGACAGAAAGAATAAAATAATAGGAATTATTGCAAGGAAAATTTCAAGATAGGCCCTGAGAATTTCTAACAGGTTCCCATCTGTTGCTGCTGGATCAGGGACCAATCTTTAAGAATCACTAGTACTACCCATGGACTTCAAAAAGTCTCTCTAAGCCCCTGGTGTCCAGGCCATTGCTACAGTACTAATTCCCAAGGCTGCTATCTCCTGAGGTCTCTGGGCTCAGGGAGTGGCCTGGGCATTTAAACCTATTGATGGGGAGGAGCTACTTTGAGGACATGTTCTCAGTGTGGAAAGGAATGAAGCGAGGAAGTTGACAGTGAGGTAGTGGAGTGACTTGTTTTCATGGAAGAAGGGGTCAGCTAGGTTCTGGAGTCACAGAAAATTTGGAAGGGGCCTTGCCCAGGCTGGATCCTGGGTTTTTCAAAGTGTGTGTTTGAACTCTGGGTTCAAAGTGTGTGCTTGCGCTTGCGCCCTGTGTAGTGGTTCCTGCCATCCTTCACACAGGAGCACCACAGAACTACAGGGCAAGACAGGACTGAGGCTCGTCACCCCCTGTCCCTACTCCAGTGTCCGTCATCCAGATATGGGAGGAAAAGATGCACAACACAACACAACTTGAAAGTCTTCCGAGAGCATCGTAGAATCCAAGTGCTTAAATCAAAAATCGTGCTTTGCCCAAGACCCTCAACCAAACTTATTTTTTCTATCCCACACTTATTTCTTTTCTTACAGACAACACCTAGTGATTTCTTCATATTTTCCTTGTGAGAATTCCTTTATTCTTTCTGTCCTCTCTCTTATTCTTGGGGAATGGATTCCTTTATTTCCCACCCACCCCTTACATCTGGGAACTTGCCCTGTTCTAAACTTGGCTTTCATCTTCTTATTGACGTACTCTCCTGGAGACACATTATCTATTTCTAGTGCTTCAACTTTCACCCATATGTTCATGGCTCTCCACAAAATATCCCCAGCCTAGACCTCTCACCCTCCACACCATTATGCCAGCTTCCAGCTAGATGTCTCCACCTGATGGCTCACAGGGTACTTCCAACTCAGTACATTTAATTCATCCTATTTTTTCCATCCCGACTCTTACCTCTTAGCCCTTCCCCCAGCCTTGTATTTTATCACTGTTCCTCCTGCTTTCCCAAACCCTGCATCACACCTCTTGTGTTGGTTCAGCTTGAAATCAGCTCTCCACTTGTCTTTTTCTCACCCAGCCTCTCTCTACTTGTTCATCAGGTCTTATCTCTTCACCTGAAATATCTTCAGAATTCCTACTCTTCTTGCAATCTCCCTTGCCTTCAACTCATTCCCAATCCTCCTCATCTCTTTCCTGAATTGCTGCAATGTGTCAAATACAGCTGCTGTGAAATGAGTGCATATTCTTCTGTGCCAGGAACGCAGTGCTCCAACCCTTACTTCCCTTTACCTGATTTAATTACAAGCCAATGAGGTAGACACCATCATCCCCATTTTACAGATGAAAAAACTTAGAACTGAAAATAATTAAGTAAGTTGACCAAGAGCCTTGCATTTTGGTAAGTAGTAGCCAAGAGCCTGTGTTTTTTCCCCCACATTTTTATTCGTGCGTTATAGTTGTTCATAGTGGTGGGATTTGTTGTTATATATTTGTATATCCACAGAGTATAACAATATAATTTGGGTAATACCATTCCCCAGTATTTCCCCTTTCCTCCCTTCTTCCTTCCACCTTTCCTCCCTTCTTCCTTTCCCCTACTGATCTTCCTTCAATTTTTATGAAATCCCCTTGACCCCCACCTTTCTTTTCATTTTTTCTTCTCTAGCTTCCACAAATAAGAGAAAATATATGACCCTTGACCTTCCGGGCTTAGCTTGTTTCATGTACCAGATGTTCTCAAGTTCAATCCATTTTCTTGTAGATAACATGATTTTATTTTTCTTTATAAGAGCCTGTGTTCTTAACCACTACCCTGTACTCATGTGTTCCCAAGCTAGGTTTTGTATGTCCCAACCTTGGCACATTAGAATAACCTGGGTTTTTAAAGACTCCATTATCCCAGCCTTATTCCAGACCAATCAAATCAAAGTCCCTGAGGGTGGGGCCTGCATGAGTATTTAAAAGGTCCCCTTAGGCAATTGTCATGGACAGTCAGGGCCACCCCCTGATTTATTGCTTCTACAAGACCACTTTCCCTGCTCCCTGGCCTGTGCCACTCCAGAATCCTGTCCAGTTATTCTTTTGATTCTTATGAAGTACAAGTACCACCATGTTACTGTCCTGCCCAAACCTCTCAGTCAACCCCTCTGCCTATAGAATAAAGACCAAATTCCTCAGTGAAGCTTCCAGACAATTTATAGCTCGCATCCTCCTCTCTGAACTCCTGTCCCTTATCCCTACCTGCAGGTGCACCATACACTTGAGATTTCCAGGACCTTTGCTCACTATTTGCTCAACCTGAAGTGGCCTGCCCTCCTTCCCTCCCACCCAACCCAGTCTCTACTCTGGCAAATAGCTTCTCTCTCTCTCTCTCTTTTTTTTTTTCCACATGCATTTAAAATGTTACCTCTACAATTTCCCCAGACAGTATGGATGTGTTTTAGTCAGCTTTTTCACTGCTATGATCAAAAGACACAACAACAACAATTTCAGAGGAGGAAAAATTTATTTGAGGGCTCACAGGTTCAGAGGTCTCAGTCCATAGATGACCAACTCCATGGCTCTGGGCCCGAGGCCAGGCAGAATATCATGGCTGAAGAGTATGGTGGAGAAAAGGGGCTCAAGAAATTACACCAGGAAGCAGAGAGAGAGAGAGAGAGAGAGAGAGAGAGAGAGAGAGAGAGAGAGAGAGAGAGAGAGAGACCTCTCCTAAATAGGACAAAATATAAACCCCCGAAGCACATTCCCCAGGGATCCACCTCCTGCAGCCACACCTTAACAGACTACAGTTACCACCAGGTTAATTCCTATCAGGGGCTTAATGCACTGATTAGATCAAAACTTTTGTAACACTCATTTTATCTCTAAACTTTCTTGCATCATCTCATACATAAGCTTTTGGGAGACATATAACCTAAACCGTAACAGGATAGCTTCTCCTTTGTTCTTTTGGTAATCTGCTCAATTACTCCAAATTGTCTAATTTATTTATATATTTGTCTCCCTCAAAAGATTTTGAGGGGCTGGGGTGGTGAGCTCAGGCGGTACACAGCACTTGTCTGGCATGTGGGGGCCCTGGGTTTAATTCTGAACACCGCCTATAAATAAATAGATAAAATAAAGGTCCATAGACTTTGAGTCTCAAGAAGATCTGTGTCTTGGTCACCTTTTGACCTCTATGACCTAATCCATGTTAGGCACTCTACAAATGATGAGTTAATATTCAGGTGAGCTCTGGGACCCTTGCCCAGTTGTGCTGCATACTGTCACCTGCCTCTATCCAGCAGTGGTCAAAAGCAATTTCTGGAGTCGGCTGGGTCCAAATTCCAGTTCTGACCCCCTGGCAAGGTTATCATGGCCTCTCACTGGAGACTAACTTTATCTATTCTCTCTAGGATTTATCTCCTCACTTGTAAAATGGGAATAGTGATACTACTCACTTACCTCAAAGGATTGAATCCTGAGAATTAAATGAGATTAATGCATGTTAAGGGACAGTGCAGGGCCTGGCACATAGCAAGCACTCAGTAACTGTGCATTATTATTAGCTTAGAAAACAGACTTCTAGTGTATTGATAACACTAATGGAGAAGTACATCTACAGACATGTACCTGTGTGAAGAGATGCATGGAAAAATGCTCACTGTGGTGATAATAGTGTTTCTTTTACTTATATTTTTTCTGTCTCATTGGTATTTATTTCACTATAAATACCATTTTTTTTGTGTACACTTAGCCTCTTCAACTGCCAAAATACACACACACACACGTAAGTACAAACAGTGCAACCCCCTGATACGCAAACCCAGAAACACACAGAAAAACCACAAACATACATATTCCCTTAGGAGGCAGAAACTCAGTGCAGATGTGACCCAGCCTCGGGGACATTGAGAACGTGCCTGCTTAGAATGTTTAAACCTCAGGCCATCTCTGGCTCAAAGCCAATAGCCGGGTGGGCAGGCACACTGCCAGCCCTGGAACCAGGAAATGGTACCCCTGTTCATCCAGAGCTCCAAGTAAACAACCAACCTGGACATCTGGAGACAGATTCCTTATGAAGTGCAGACCCTGCAGGAGAGGTGGACTGTGCCAATCTTCAACCCACGGAGGTGAGGAGAAGAGGGCAGGAGTAATACGCAGGAATTTGGAAAGTTAACTGCCTTCCTGACCAAGGTTTTCAGAGGAAAAGGAACTAACTAGTTTCAGAAAATGATTTGCTTTTAGGTCCCCAAATTCAGGAAATGCAGGAGGAACTGGATGGAGGGAGCTAAATCCCACATTTTCATTGGAAGCTTTTCTTTCTTCCAGTGAACAAGAAAACTTGCAGTGACTTTTGAACTGACCTTAGTGTTTAGGCCTCAGTTTTGCTGGAGTTTAATATCAACCATGTTATATAAGCAGTCTGCTCCTTGGCGGAGTGTAATGTCACCAAGAAAAATCAGGTGTCACGTGACTTCCAGAAATGAAATCTGCTTTCTTGTTACAGGAATCAGATGATGTCAAGAAGTACCAGGACAGAAATGAGGCCGATTTCTGGACTCATGAAGCAACCCTGAACTTTGGAGAAGAATCTGGGGAGATTCAAAGCAAATAGAACAGAGCCTTGCCCAGGGTAAAGACCCTCAAAGGGGACACGTTGGTGCTCTGGTGCCAGTACGTGGTCTACATTCAGGTTGGGGAGATCACCGTGTCAGGGAGCACCAAAGGTGCCCAGCTTAGGCCAGGAAAGGAAAAGGGAATTCCTTTGGCTAAAAGGACCTGATCTCTCCTCTCAAAAAGTTTACATTGTAGTTAAGGATACTAGATGGGCACACGTGGAAACAATTAAAAGAAAATTTCCATTGTTCTGTTTTGAGCAGTAGAGATCCTAAAATGTTGAAGAAGTTTGAAAAATATAAAACCAGGGCCACCACAAACAAAACCTGTACACAGGGGCTGTATAGTATATGACCTATACAACCGCATCTCCTTCAGGACCAAGAATTTGTGCTGTACAACTTAACACTGAGTTACATAGAGTACACTTCATGCATCATTGGTGGTCTCAGTCAACACCAGCTTAATGAGGGACCATTTTGGCAACCAGGGAAGGAGCAGTTGTAACATTAATAATCAAAATTTGGGGGCTGAGGTTGTAGCTCAGTGGTAGAACATTTGCCTAGCATGTGTGAGGCACTGGGTTCCATCCTCAGCACTGCATAAAAATAAATAAAATAAAGGTCCATTGACAATTAAAAATATTTTTGAAACAAAGAAAGAAAAAAAGAACTAGTGCTGCTTTAAAAAAATAATAACCAAAATTTTACTACCTTACAGCCTCCCTATCAAATCAAGGCCTCAGCCCTTCTTCCAACACCTCCCAACTTCCTAGTTCTTTCTTTTTTAATTGAAAAATAGGTAGGTATCACAAAATTTACCCTTCTAAAGTGTAAATTCAGTGCCTAATAGTATATTCATAAGGTTGTATAACCATCACCACTATCTAGTTCCAGAACAGTTTTATGACTGAAAAAGAAACCCAACACCCATATAGTGATTTCCTATACCCACCTCCTCCCAGCCCCTGACAGCTACCAATCTGCTTCCTGACTGTATGGATGTTCCTGTTGGGTATTCCATATAGTAGATGGAGCCATATGACCTGAGGCCTTTTGTGTCTTTTCTTAACATCATGTTGTCAAGGTGCATCCATGTTGCAGCATGTTTTGGTGCTTTCTTTATTTTCCCAGTTATTTCTGGACATCCCAGGTGATGGCTTCCAAGTACTAAGACTTGAGTCTACCATAGATATCTATCTGCTCCCCAGAAGCCACTTGGAGGAAGAACCTCACAGCTGCTACCTCTGTCAGTTCTGTCAATCCATCAGTCCTCTCTTCCCTGCACTGGAGATAGTGTCTGTCCAGACAGGGACATTGTCTCTCTCCCCAGCTGAGCGCTGCTTTTGTTCCTAGTCTGTAGGTCGTCTGTATCCTAGCTTTTGGTCACACGTTTCTGGTTCTGAAGGCAGACCTGGTTTTCCATTTCCCCATCTTTCTCATCCTGATTCTAGAAACCTGCGCTGGGAGGAAGCCCAAAACTGAACAAAACTTTTATCTTCATCTGGGTTTCCCCCCAACACATCCTAAGACAAGAACTGGTGTGAAATTGATTTTTTTTTAAAAGGGAAAACCAGTAAGAGAGTGAGAAAGTAGGACAGGGAACATGTGAAATCAACAAGGATGTGAAGTCCACAGAGGGTAACTTGAGCTCAATCCCACAGAGCAGTGACAGACCTCAAGGTATGGTGTTTATCCTCTGCATCTGTCAGTCATTGGTTAAGAGCTGTTCTCTGGGCAGGTAAAGTACAGGCCCTTCAGTTTTCTGTGGCACCAGGCAAAAGGGGTCCTGGCAGGCTGAGAGCAACCCTTTGACATGGAGATACTGGTGCCACTGTTAGAAGTAAAAGCATACATTTCTGCTTCATTCCTTTGTGAGGTCCCCTTTTCTCACAAACATATCATCAGAACCTCCAACCTCGTCTAGCACAGTGCCAACACTCGGTATATGTTGACTGACTAATGGATAGAAAGATAGACCTCACCAGAGGCCAAAAAGTAATTTTCTTTATAGTCATAAATTTCAATCATTTGAAAAAACAGAATACATTGTATACATCCCTGGCTCACTCTTTTCTACTTACTGTACACTTGGGCATGTGCAAAAGAAAGTGAAGCCAGTACCTGTTACACTGTTGATGTAAAAGAAGGTAACTTAGAGGCTGGGAAAAACCTGCTTATGAGAAGTTACAGGTGAAAGACCTGATTGTCAACGAAGAGTTCAGTGTTTGATAAGCCAGGGATTCGGGCTAATGTACTATGTGCTAGAGATTCCTCTTGGGTGTCTGGAATGAGTCTCATTTTCTTCTTTTCCATGGTGCTCTGATTGGGCATGCTACTGAGTCTCTGTTTTTCTGTTTCCTCACCAGCTCTGCCCACTTCCCAAGGTGATGGAAAGATGAAATCATGAATGTGAAAGGTCTTGAGAAGCACAAGTTGCTCACAAATATAATATAGATTTTAAATGGCCTTTGACTTTTTAAAGGGGGTCTTGGGCAACAAAGAAGAAAATCCTGGAAGAGTGAGGCTGAGAAATTACCCTTGGATCCTCAGTGAAAGCTGAGTCTCAGTGGGAATTGACTGTGATCCCAGGCCTGACCAGAGACGGTACATGCATTAACCCCACCATTAGCCATGACATTAGACCTTCCAGGCGATAGCTGGGCTAATCATTAAAGGGACTCCAACAGAACAGAAGTTAAGAGAGAAGGCAAAGGGTGAGTTGGAGAAGCCAGAAATGGAAGAAAATGTGTGTGGGGGAGAGAGGAAGGGAGAGTACATGTAAGAAAGAGACAGAAAAAGATGTGGAGTAAACTGATAAAGAAGTGGAGATGAAGGAGAGAGGAAACAAGAGGTGACAGTGCCGGAGATGATGGGCACCACTGGCAGCTGCTCCTGTGACATCCATGACATGGACTCCTCAGGCACTGGTTTGATGGCAGACGCCACACTCGACACATTCTCATCAGAGCCCTGCTCTCAACTCTTGGTATACCTGCCCCAATTATTTCAGAGAGAAAAAGTTGAGGAGGGTCTCCAAGGCAACCTGATCTTGACTCCTCCCACCCCAGGTCTCCTGCAGGCCTTGGGCAGAAGGTGGCCAGGACAACCAGAAAGTAGAGGGTATGACCCAGCCAGCAAACAGAGGGCTCTCAGTTAGTGTGCCAGCCTGTAAATTGTCCTTTTGTTTTGCAGGCTTTACGGAACACGGTTTTATTTCATGTGACTGTGCTATTTCAGGAGGAGTAAATATTGCCGGCGGTCTGTTTAAAAAGGCCAATGACCTGAAATGTTTTTTTTTTTTTTTTTTAATTTTTTTTCTTTTCTTTACCGTTTGAATCATCTCTAAGAAGCAGGCCTGCCCAAGCATCATGCAGGTTTAATTTGTTACCTTTCAATTCCAACCTTCCCTTTTTGTCTTGTGATATGTGAGGCTGACCAACAAAAGGGGGCAAAGATATAGGGATAAAGAGGTGAAGTGCTGGCCCAGGCTTGGGGACAGAAGGAAGAGATGTCCAGAGTGTCATCGGAAAAGCGCAGGGAGTCCTCAGCTCTCTGCTGCCTTCACTGCTTCCGGAGCTGGTGTTTGACCTATAATTATAGTCTCTTTCCACTGATTTCCTCTGTGAAAATAGCAACATTCAGACTAAGTGCAGTGTAGGAAAAAAAAACACTACATAAAGAATCAGGGATTTATAAATACAGTTAAAATTACAGGATTGTTACCCCCATGGTTTAGTTTTCTAAAGAGAGGGCTGGGAAGAGGGAGCACAGTTCTTCAAACTTGACTTAGGTCCTAAAATACCCAGGTGTGATTCTTTGGGAGGCAAGTCAAGCAGAGATTCACTGCAGGTTTTTTGTTGTTGTTGTTGTTTTGTTTTTTGTTTTTGCCCCCACTGGATGCAAAAAACCATTGTTTTTAAAAACAAGAAGAAGAAAAAGAAGGCTGTTCTTGGCCAGGATTTTTATTTGACTTCTTGAGGATTCTCACTTGCCATTTAATTGTTCAGTTTCTTCTCATCAAATTTATTATCTCTAAGAACAGAGAGGGGGAGAGGATATCCATGTCTTGGCCCTGACCTTTCCATCTTCTGGGGCCTTCATTCATTCCCTGGGGCAAACAATGTGTTCATGTTGGAATTTTCATCTTATATGACCCAGCACTCTGGTCCCAGCTGGTCCACACTGGCCCTTTTGAGGGCTGTCTTAACTTGGAGCAGATGAGAAATCGTTGGCTAAGTTCATTTCTGGTGATGGAGACACATGGAAATACAGGCAAGGAAATAGAGACAGCCTCTCTGCAGTGAAAGAGAAGGAAGCCACCGTGAGTAAGGAAAAGACACGAGAGACAAAGGTTTGGTGCCCTGAAGTCTCTGGTTCCTGTGGTTCCCAAGGCTTGGATCCATGTCCCCCTAGCCTTTGCTCAGTTTGGAGAGTCAACTTTTACATGGATTTCTTGAGCTAGTACTTTCCCTCTTTTGCCTGAATTGGTTCATGTGGGAGTTCTGATGTGTGTGACCAAAAGTCTTAACATAATAGTGCAAGTGCAAAGAATTCTGCAGAGAAGTTGACAAAGCAATAGTTTCATTGCAACATCTGAAGTTGGTTTCACAAGGGTTAAGGGCACACTGCTCTACTTTTCAGAAAGATAAGTGTTAAGAGAAGAATGAAAATATCTCAAGTAGCATTTATGACCCAATAATTGAATAAGAGGAGGAAACTGGGAGGGAAGCCCGGGGCCTGGCCTCTGCCTTCATGTGACTCACCTACAAGCTTTCCAGATAGCTGATCTCCAGAAAAGGCTACCATAATTGCCTTCCCATCGCTGGTGACATTGTCTTAACTCTCACTGTGGAATCTGCAGTTGGCCACTGAGGAGAGCTGCAGAGCTGACTGACCATCTTCAGCATCACTGTCTTTCCTGTGCTTAGAGTTGACACCTCCCTGCAGAGTGATCCCAATACTCTCTGTGCGTCACCGAGGCAAATGTAATGGCCTGGCATGATGGTGTAGAAATGTCCTGCACTGGGAATCTTAGCACCTGGATTCCAGCCCAGGTTTTGTCACCCACAATTTACAGGAACAAGCTAAGACCCTGGATCTAGCTTCTCATCTGCTAAATAAGGAATTGGGCCTGATGATCTCTGAAGCCCCTTCCAGCTCTCATATTCTAATTATTAAGTCAACTATGGGCCTATATTTTTCTCTACAATGACCAGTATTTGCTTACCATCAAAAATAGGATAAGAAAGAAAGAGAGAACAACAAATCAATTTTTAAAAAATATTTAAGGTGATATGATTTTTTTTTAGAAAACTCAGGTTATTTCTAATATACCATTAGGTTTTTAAAAAATAACAGGTTTATTGTATAAAAAATGCAAATACAAAAAAATACAAATAAACAAAAGAACTTAATCTAACCTGTAATCCTTCAGAGATAATATCTATAAATGTTTATGTATATAAATTAAAATACTTTCTATAAGCATGTTATGGAGGGTATCACCCAAATTTTATGTATTAGGAACTTAATCCCCCAAATCATATAGTAATTGTATTTGGAGGTGGGGCCGTTGGGAGGGAATTAGGATTAGATGAGGTCATGGGGATGGGGCCCCCTCTTTATAAGAAGAGAAAGTAGAGCTAGCATGATTCCTGTTTCTCGCCATGTAATACCCTCTACCACGTCATGACCCAGCAGGAAGGCCCTCACCAGATGCCAAGCTGAGGTTGGCACCATGCTGTTGGACTTCCAGAAACATAAAGTGAATAAACTTCCATTCTTTATAAATCACCTGGTCTGTGGTATTCAGTTATAGAAACAACAACAAAATAGCCTAAAACAACATGCAAATACATTTTTTCTTTATGAAAATAGGATCAGACTATCCATTCTGTTTTTCAAGTTGATCTTGACATTTAACACAAAATTGAAAAAAACATTTTTTAATGTTAAAACATTTACTTACATAGCATTGATTTCAATTGCTATATGGTAATCTGGTGTTTGTGGGGACCTGAATTTATTTAAACAATCTCTTATGGCTGGATAGTTGGATAGATTTATTTTTTGGTAGTATTACCAATATTATAAACATACCTTGTGCAAACATGTATGTTTTTTCAGGCTTCTGAGTGATCAGCAAGCAGCAACTCAGCATGATTAGGGAGATAGAGGTATCACACCCCTTCTTTGTGGATTCCTGTGTTGTGCAAGCTCTTTCAGGTTGCAGCGAATGATTTGATTTCTCTCTACCATGCAACCTCTACCATTCCAGTCACAATTGATTGCACTGGCATCTACTTCTCCTGTAATGGTAGCTATCTGGAAGCAGACCAAAAGCCTCTGAGGTGTCTGGCAGAAGACCTATTCCCTGAGACAATTTCATATTCTGGCTGGACACTGGGCAAGCTGAACAAATTCTCCCTCAGGGCATTAAATGCAACTATGAGTAGCCTCAGTAGCAAGGGCAGGAGCAGACATGGTGCTGGATTCAAGGGTTGAACCCCATCAACTGAAGCCACCAGTGAGTCCCTCACAACCCGAGAAGAAGAAATGTCTTCCAGTGTGGTTCCCAGAGCCACCTTCCCTGACTCCAGGTGACTGAACCAGGAAGATAAAGGTGTGACCTTCTGGAACCTGAGAATAAGGAGCCCGACTCCATCATTTCTTACCTGTATGATCTTTGGCTCATCCCATCACCTTCCTGTTCCATGTTTCTCCATCTGAAAATGAGAATATTGAAACTACAAAAGATCACTGTGGCAAATAAATAGGGGGGAAAAAAAAAATATATATATATATATATATATTCCTTTAGAAGAATGCCTGTCGTACAGCTGATATTATCATGCCTCACCAGCAAGCTGGGTTGTACTTAGAATCTCAGGAGTTTAAAGGGTCTCACAGGTTACTGATATCCACAAGGACAAACTAACGACTTCAGATATCCTAGTATTAGTTTACTCTATAAGTGCTCCTGATTCCTCCAGCAGATTGGTGAACTCCTTGAGTTTATGGCCATGTCCACTGTGCCCTCCACCGTGCCTTGCACAGGGCAGTGCTCAATCTGTGACGGATTCTGCTGACAGGTTGGAAAGCCTTCTCCTTGCAGACCCAGCACAGCCGGTTTGGACCAGTGTAGCGGGCAGCTGGGCCAACAGCCTAGCTCCCCTCCCACCAAGGCAGCCTTCCAGAATCAGTGCTCCCTGGAGGGCAAAGCACCAGCAGCCCTCACAGCAAGCAGAAACCTTGTGCTGTATGCAGAGCCAAAGCCTTGCAACTGGAAGTTGTTGTCGCCTACTTTGCTTTGCAGGCTTACAAAAACATCCCTTTGAAGCTAGACCAGAACCTCCATTGGCATGTGCCAGAGCTGACAAAATGTAGAGCTAAATCTGTTTTGGGGACACCTCCTTCCAGAAAGGCAGGATGCTTGCCTGATTCCTAAGTGGAACCCCCAAGTCACCACACTGTGTCTTCCCTCTTTGATGTATTCCTGAGCCTAGAACCCCAGGCCAATAATGGAATGAAGTCAGTGAATATTGATGGTCCTTTCCACCCTTTTCACCTCCTCTGGACACACCTGCTGACCTATCTGTGCCACCAAACGTGGGCCTGATTGCCCAGCAACTACCACGACTCCAGTTTCATGTTAGCTGGAGAAAAGTCTTCTAAACAGGACAGCTAGAACAGAAGGAGCTCCACAGCACCCACAGCAAGTTTAGAATTCAAGGTTTCAGTGGGAAGAGATTCAATTTACTTTTAACATTACTTTGTGCTGGATATTCTACTGGGTGTGTTGCATAATCATATTAACAGCTAAGACATAGCACAACCACCTGATGACTGCTATGCCAAGCATCTTACACACACTAACTCATTTAATCATTATCAAAAACCATTGAATTGGACTGGGAATGGGTTCAGTGGTAGAGTGCTTACCCAGCATGCATAAAGTCCTGAGTTTGATCCTTAGCACCAAAATAAAAAAATAAATAAATTGAAGTTAGATAGTAAATTCACTTCATTTTACAGATGATAAAACTGAAGCACAATAACTCGTTCAAGGCCTTACAGCTACTAAATGACATACCTGGATGTGCACATAATCCCTATTCAAAAGCTTTACAGTTCAAGTTTAACTAGGATCAGGTATGCATGTAGACATTTAATTCTTATGGTATCACTACTAGTGAGGCTAATGTGGTTCCATTCTATGGATGAGAAAACTGAAGCTCCGACAGGTTAAATATGTTCAAATCACATAACTAACAAGTGGCAAATATCGTGCCAACTTTGTCTAGCTCCACCATATCATGGCACAGGAAGAAAACCTTGCAAAATGACAGGAAAATACTCAGTGAGTTTGCAAAGGAGGTGACTGAAAGATTACAAAAGTTGGGAATGTGTAAATCAAGTCTGCTGGAGATAGAACTCAGGCCCAGCAAAGGGTGGAGGCTCTAGACCCAAACTTCTGTTTATCTGTCCTGTAGCTACTTTCAAACCACACCAATTAGCCAGATTGGTAAAGATTTAAGTCTGTTAGTGGCAAATTTCTAAATGCCTTTTAGACAGGTGAAACTTGCAATGCTGGGAGAAAAAAAAAAGGCTCTTAATGCAACCAAATCTCAATTGGAAAAATCTCAAAACTCTTCTCACCCTCCCACTCACTTCCTAAACTATCTCATTTGGGAGAGGGGGTACCAGGATTGAACTCAGGGGCATTCGACCACTGAGCCACATCCCCCGCCCTATTTTATATTTTATTTAGAGACAGGGTCTCACTGAGTAGCTTAGCACCTTGCTTTTGCTGAAGCTGGCTTTGAACTTGCCATCCTCCTACCTCAGCCTCCCGAGCCACAGGGATTACAGACATGCACCACTACACCCGGCACTATCTCACTTTTTATCTTCTTGTCTCCTCTGCCCCTGAGGTTTTTCAGCCCAGCTTCAAGTTATCTGTAATTCCAGGTAGTTGCAATCCTAGAGTCACAGACCTGCAAGGAGCCTCAGAGAGGACTCACTGCCTTTGTCCGTTTTAAATCTACTTCAAGGGCTGGGGTTGGGGCTCGGTGGTAGAGCACTTGCCTAGCATGTGTGAGGCACTGGGTTCAATTCTCTGCAACACATATAAATAAATAAAGTCCATTGACAACTAAAAAAATTATTTTTAAAAAAATCTACTTCAAGCAACAGTTACTTCTCTTTGGATGTTTAGTCATTTTCTCCCTGCCTGAAGTAGGTTTGCTCTTTAGTGGGGCTGAGTGACCAGCTAGTGGCAGAGTCATTTTAGGCATCTGGAGGTAGCTCCTTACAAATGACTTTGTTGGCCAATCCCCTACTACCACACCAGCAGCCCAGGTCCTTATGGGAGGATCAGAGGGTCTATCCCGCCTTTTCCAAACCCAAAGGTACTCTTGGAAGGATCACCAGGAATACAGAAATAAATAGGATGTATTCAGGAACTCACATGAAGATAACAACAATACCATGGGACTGTCAACAATCTGGAACACCTGTATGAGCTTGCAAAGCAGAAACTATCAGTGTCTTCAGGGGTCCAGAAACCTCACCAAGGAAAAGGCCCCAGGAAGGAACTGGGGCCCAGAGAACCTGCAGGCCTGGAAGGCAGCATGGTTTTTCCATTGAAGGCAGGTGGCACAGGTTTTGCAATCTGACCTTTCCCCTGCTACCCGTGAGACTACAACCACAGACACACCTTGGCATTCCCAGGCTTTATTTTCATTGTACAGGTGTTTGGGTGGCTCCCCACAATAAAGAGGAAATGAATGATGACTATAAAATTAAATTGTATTTTAGATCGATCTTTATCATCTTTTCCAGGCACTAATTGATTATCTGGCTCCTTGCAGATTGACTGAGTGAGGTCTGACCAATAGAATAGAGCCATATGCTGAGCTCAGCATTTCCAGTCCCATCACCGCGGTGGCTGCCTTCCCAGTTGTGGCACTGCTGATGCCCGAAGCTCCCAAGATAACGATTTGTCTATGGCACCAGTAGGCAAAACAGGACACCAATAATCTTAGTTGCACATCAGTAGTTTCTCAACAGAAGTTAACAGCGGGTACTAATTCAATGTCTACTAAGTGTCAGGTACTCTGGTGAGTGCTCCAGGTGCATTAGCCAATGAAGCAGTATGTCACCGCCATTTAACAGATGAGAAAATCACAGCGTAAGAGGTTAAGTCACTGCCATTGACTGGTGAACTGAAAGACTGCCTCATTACTGACTCTCCCATGCATCTTGAACAGGCTAGACCCAGGAAGATGTTCAACATGAATTCTTAGCCGGGCATGTGACTCAGTGGTAGAGTGCTTGCCTAGCATGTGTGAGGCCCCAGGTTCCAACCCCAGCGCTACAAAGCAACCACAACAAAAAAATATTAAATGGATGAATGGACAGGTTCTAAATGGTGCAGCAAAGAGGAATATGCTCCTCAGAAAGGAAAATGTAAACAGGGAAGCAGAGAGGAATACATTCTGCAGGCTAAGTAGAAGAGCTGTGGTAATCGACAGCTGTTTCAGCCTTCCTTTTCTCTGTGTATTTATCCCATTGAGCATTTTGAATGGGAAGTGTCTAACTACTCTGTGGGTGTACGTACTGGTTGCTAATTTTGGAACACTTTTGAATCCTGGGTCCAGAGTCATGACCAAGACTGGTGAGTCATACTCCCCATGCAGAGCACCTCCACATAGGCTGTCAGGATAACCAGCAGTCTCCAGTGTGTCCCCTGCTCAGGCTGTGTCATTTTACCTTCTTTTTTAAAATAATATTTTTTTTAGTTGTTGACAGATCTTTATTTTGTTTATATGCAGTGCTAAAAATCGAATCCAGTGCCTCACACATACTAAGTAAGCGCTCTACCACTGAGCTACATCCCAGTTCTCATTTTACCTGAAGCTGAGGGTGGGGTCAGGGTAACAGCAGACTTCTGGATATCCCTGCCCTTTGGAAATCTAGAGGCTACATAGGCTCTCCTGGGGACCTCCTCCTCTTTCCTCCCATTCTCCTGGAGGAGTTCATCCCTCCCCCCAGGATATCACAGCAGCAGGCAATGTTTCCATCTGCCCCACTGTGTCTCTCCAGGTAGGTGTGTAAAAGAACCCATCACCAGGTGACTAGTTAGCCTCTTTACCAAAGGACACATCCCATCCCATCCTCAGAGAAAAAGGTTTAGAAGAATAAGTGCTCCAGAGACAGAATCTACACATTGGGTTAAAGTCACACAATGGCACAAAGAGCTGGGGTAGAAAGAAGCAGAGTACGGGGGACAAGACAGAGAGGGAAGTGGCTTGGCACCTATCACAGACTCTTGGGTACTTAAAACACAACCTGCTGGCTTTCTTTCTTATTGTGTTTTTTTCAGGCTCCTTTGCCTGGTCATGCTAGATGGCTGAATTCTTGCTCCTAAGTCTTTCAACTGGAAGCGATGTAGAGCCAGGGAGAAAAGAGAAAATCCAAAGCAGGTTGCTGTGCTTGTGAACTACCCTGATCAAGTTCTGATAAGTGAAGTGGTGAGGCTAAAAGTTCAATGGAGAGTTTCATCCTCTCTTCAGATTTTGACTTTGATCATTTCTGCCCTCCCTTTAAAATAAAGAATGGAAGCGGAGACAGGAAGTCTGGGAGTTCAAAGCCATCCTCAGCCACAGTGAGGCACTAAGCAATTCAGTGAGACCCTGTCTCTAAATAAAAATACAAAAATAGGGCTAGGGCTGGGGCTCAGTGGTCGAGTGCCCCTGAGTTCAATCCCTGGTACCAAAACAAATTAATTAATTAATTAATTAAATGACATAGAGAATGGGCTGGGAATGGAGGTGTGCACGTAATCCCAGCAGCTTGGGAGGCTGAGGCAGGAGGATTGCAAGTTCAAAGCCAACCTTAGCAATTTAGCAATGACCTGTCTTAAAATTGAAAAAAAAAAAATTTTAATGGGCTGGGGATGTAGATCAGTGGTTAAGCACCCCTGGTTTCAATCTCTGGCACAATAATAATGATAATAATTTAAAAATAAAGGACAAAGAGTGGGTCGTATTTGAATGTGTGAGGAGGTTCTGACTGAATGAGCAGATGCATGCATGCTCCAAACACCAATTCCTCAGCCTAAAGTTCCCCCATAATTTCATTCCTCCTGACCAAACTGCATAAAGCAGGCATAAGAACAGAGAGAAGCATGCTTTTAAAAATAGATCTGACTTAGTAGTCTTTAAATAACCAAGGATTATGATATGGGAGGGGACTACTTTGCATCTCCTTCTCAACGAAGAACAGAACTGCCTTGAAGCTAAAGTGATTTGGGTTGCTAAGAAAGATGTTCTAAAAGGTAAGAAAACTGCTAAACCAGATAAATATCTTTTTTTGAACTACCATCTTATTTGACTAAGATGATTATTGAAATATAGCCTACCTTGACTCCAAGGGGTAGAACAAATCCTCCGTATCCAGTGTGGCCCCAGCCCAGCACCACAGGGAGCTTGTTACAGTGCAGATTCTCCTTTTGAACCTGAAAGACTGAAGCACTAGGCTCAATGACCTTCTCAGATTTCTCCTCCTTGAGGACCTGATGAACCTCCCCTAGGGTGAGAAGTTGGGTAGCCCTGCTGTGGAGGAGGCCCTTAACTGCTAAGGCAGTCTGAGGTGCACTGGTGTCCCCTCCCATGCCACGGCTTTCCACATGTCTGTGTTTACAGGTCACCATTCTCCTCAGCCACAATGGTACCACAGCTGCCGGTCCCTGAACACATACCAGACTCCCCACAGCAAATTCCTGGCAAACCACAGTGTGTAAGAGATCATCGGAGCCTTCCTCAGAGTCATGGATGACTCCCAGAGCAAGGACAGGGTACAGTCCAGTAGTTTGTGCAACTCCTACTCTCCTGTCAGTTGTGAGGGCCACCCGTGTTATGGTTTGGAGGTGAGGTGTTCCCCAAAGTTCACGTGTGAGACAGTGCAAGACGGTTTAGAGGAGAAATGATTGGGTTATAAGAACCTTAACTCAATCAGTGAATTAATCCCTTGAAATGATTATCTGAGTGGATTATCTGGATTAACTAAAGGCAGGTAGGGTGTGGCTGGAGGAGGTGGGCATGGGGGTGTGTGTGGCTTTGGGGTATATAATTTGTATCTGGTGAATAGTCTCTCTCTGCTTCCTGATCATCATGTGAGCTGCTTCCCTCCGCCATACTCTTCTGCCGTGATGTACTACTTCACATTGAGCCCCAGGGAAAGGAACTAGCTGCCTATGGACTGAACCTCTGAAATCATGAACCCCCAAATATACTTTTCCTCCTCTACAGTTGTTCTGGTCAGGTCTTTTAGTTGCAGAGTGAAAAAGCTGGCTAGAACAATCTGTATACCTCCCTACTCATTCATCTGGGGCCACTGGACTGGAAAGGGTCCTCATCTGTTAAAGAATCATAAAGCAACTCATATTTGCTATAAAGTGTTAAAAAGTTATTGCATAAATTATTCATAAATACACGTGAGAAAAAGAGCACCCAAATCTAATGTGAGGGTGGGAGGGGGAACTCAAAATACGGCCAACAACCCCCTATCAATCTACTTCAGAGGCATGCACAGGGGAGTATTTGCTGAGCTGTGGAGGTGAACTACTATCTTAGCTCAGACCGTCCTAACAAAATACCATAGACTGGGAGGTGTAAACATCAGATGTTTGTTTTCTTACAATCTAGAGACTGGAAGTCCAAGATTCAAGTGCCACCAGATTCATTTCTTGGCAAAGACTCTCTCCTTGGCTTGGAGATGGCTGCTTTCTTGTTGAGTCTTCCCATGACCTGTCCACAGTGTATACCCATGGAGAGAGAGAGAGAGAAAGCAAGCTCTGGTCTCTCTAAACCTCTCTTATATAGGCACTAATCCTACCACAGGAGCTCTACCTCAGGATTCATCGAAACCTAATTATCTCCTTAAGGTCCTTCCTCCAAATACTATCGCAATGGGGATTAGGACTTGAACTTGTAAATTTGGGAGGCCCAGTCCATAACAACTACTAAAGTAATAGACTTCAAAGAGCCTGTTTTCTAATCTGTTTTTCTTATGTTCTTGACTAATATTATTAGCATACTTTAAGATTATATGTAATAAAAATGAAAACATTTTAATTTTGCATCTTTATAATTAATGCTATGGACATGCAATTCATTACGCTATAAGGGCCTCTTGACATCACTGGGCTGTGGTCCCGTGACCAGATCAAAGAGGAGCTGCACGGAATATTTACTGGAAGTAAAGAAAGCAGTAGAGATCAGGGGCTCCAGAGTTAGAATGAGCTGGTTCAAATGTGATTCTATGCCTTCCTACCTGTGACCTTTACAAACTTTGATTTCCTAGTCTATGAAATGGAGAGATTTAGTGTTCCTTTCATCATTAAGTATCGTTATAGAGTCATTGTGGGGATTAAATTAAGTAATACATGAAAATCCCTGTCACTAAGTAGACATTGAATACACTGTGGCTATTGCTATTGTTGCAGTTGATATCATTAATCATGATATTTATACTTCCCGGCACATATGTGTTCTTTCTGCTATCAGCCTGATACCTCCAAGGAGCAGGGATTAAGTTTCTCTCAATAGATTCCTTCTCACCTTCCTGAGTGTCTTCTGCTTATATCAGGGTGCACCCAGTCCTTGGAGGGCACAAGAACTATTGTGGCCACTTGCCTGCTTATTGGCCCAGAGAACTCCTCCAGAGTCCTGAGCTCCCAATAAAACTTGCAGCACAAGTTAGGACTTGTTTTTTAGGAAGCCAGGAGTCCTGCTCTACCGATATAACCCTCATCACCCCACCCTGCTAAGACTGATCTCCACTTACACTTTGAGGGTTACACCCTGCCCACCTCCCTTTACATAATTCTATCCATGAGTGCACACGTGTTGCATTAGTCAGGGTTCTTCAGTGGAACAGAACCAATAAAATATATATAAAATTATAAGAGGATATTTATTAGACTGGCTCACATGTCAGAGGCTGGATAGTCCCACAGTGGTCATCTGCAGGCTGGAGACTCAGGGAAATCAGTAGCTGCTCAGTCTAAGAACCTGGAAGCCTCAGTAACAGAGGGACCAATCATGCAGATCCAGTCCGAAAGGCTGAAGGGACTGAAAGCCCCCTGGATAACAGCTGATATAATCTGTATTCATAGCCTAAAGAATCTGTTGTGCTGTCCACAGGCAGCAATGGCAGAAAAAAAAAATTGTACCTGTTCAAGAAGTGTTGAGTATGCACGTGTGTGAGCTTTACCTTTCTTCCACTTTTTCTTCCATGTGAATCCCAGCCTGTTGCATGATGCCACCCATGCTCAGGGCAGATCTTCCTCACTTGTTTGCTAATCCCCATGCCTCTCTTTGGAAGCACCCTCACAGATGTACCAGAAGGGTCCTCTATCAATTTTCTAGGTGTCCTTCAATCTAGTCAAGTTGAAGACCAAGATTAACCAGGATGCATATCATGCAATGGCCTTCAAGGCCATGATTCTTCTTTCATTTTGACTTTCATTTCTGACAACAGGCACCTTAGAATGTGCCCAGAATTTCAAGGGTGGGTCCCTTTCACTCTTCCAGAATAGCAAAAAACATCATTTCTATCCTGCCCCTATGAACCTATCCATACTTAGTGACATCAAAATTTATTGTCCCACATCCGTGGAAGTTCACATCCCCAAAGTCCTCATCCCAATGCCTGGGTCCAGTACTCTTAAACCAAAGGAATGGCTTGGCCTGCTGGGTGAAGACCTCAAGCACTGCTCCTCTCCTAGATCTACTCCCAGTCAATCACACAGTTATCTCTTCCAGGAAGCTTCCCATCTTCTTTCCAGAGCCAAGATGGGCTAGGGGCTATTGAGCTCCAATGAGCTCACATAGCACTCTGGCTTACCTCTGTCATTCCCTTGTATTGCCATGATCTGTTTCCCTCTGCTTCCCACCCCAAATTGAGTTCCAGGAGGACTGAGACCATGTGTTCTTCATCTCTGCATCCTCAGCACTGTGGCTACTACCAAGTGAGCATTTAATACAGTTAAAATAAAGGGGGGAAGAGAAAAGAAAAACAAACTTAGGAAGTAAAGAAAAAAAAGTATGTGTGTGGGGGGGGGGGTGCTGGGGATATAGCTCAGTTGGTAGAGTGCCTGCCTTGCATGCACAAGGCTCTGGATTCAATCCCCAGCACACACACACACACACACAAATAAATAAATAAATAAATAAATAAATAAATAAAAATAAATAAATAAATAAATAAGGAAGAAAGTAGTAAAAAAAAAAAAGGTGGAAGAATAAGGCGGGGGGTGGAGGGGCCTGGGGGAACCTGCCTAGGAAGAAGGAAATAGCAACAGGCTGGATCGAATTCTGTAGAATTCCCAGTGGCACGGACCAGTGAAGCTAAAACCCATCCTCCTCTATATTTAATCTTTCAACTTCCCCCTCCCTATTATTAATATAAAAATAGAATGGGTTTATATGAACTCATTAAAATCGTTGACTAAATAATCATGATGGTTCCTGGAGCCCTGAGCCATCAGCAAGCCCTATAAAAATACTTTCTACTGACAGCAGGGCATAAAACCATCATCAAACACAAACACTGAACTCTTTCCTGGTCACAGATACAGGCTCTACTCCACGGCCAAGGTCAGTCACTTCTTTTGTGTACATGAGTCCTCCACAGCTGACAAAAATTTCCACATACATCTATGAAGATGGGGAGAGGGACCAAAAAGCTCTTAGGAATTCACTGGTAATAATCACCTTATAGGTATTGGCACAAGTGAAGAGAGGAAAAGGCCCAGAAAAATAAACAGCAAAACAGAACAGCCAGATAATCAAGAAAGTATCCATGTGTGTACACATACATGCACACTCAACAGTTTAACTTCCCTAATAATGTTTTGCACAGATTAATAATTAAATGGCCTTGTGTGTTTTGAATAGAAGCCAACTCCTCAGCAAGGAGAGGTGACAAAGGAGCATATCAACGAGGTCAACAGGAATGAGTCAGCCAGTCCACCATGCAGATAATCTAGAGATTCTTGAGTTCATTCCCTCTATTTCTCAAAAGTTTTGTTAACTCATCATCTGTTTTTAACTCAAAATTTTGTTAAACTCAGAATTTTAGAGATGGATTAGAGATGGGGTATGGAGAAAGTTTCCTATATAAATTTTGGCATATTCCAGCTAATCTAGTCAATCCAGAATAGAGGCAATCATCCGACCCTGAAAACTGAACCAAACTTTATTGGTTGTATTTGGAGAACAGCTTCCCTGAGCTTTTGGATCTAAACAAAACATCTTCTCCCTTCAGCAGAGCGTGTCTTCTATAAATGCCCTGCCATCTCTCTTAACAGAGTATTTCTCACGATTTTCTTTGTGATCAGGAATTTTGTTACTGATTGTAGAAATCATGTGGGAGTTACCTTCCAAGGTACTGGGAAAATGAGTGTAGGAAAATCTAATCTAGTATAGATAACTTGAAAAATAATGTTGAATGTCAATCTTGTCTCTAGGATGAGCAGAAGATAAAAATTAAAGTTAACCGAGTCCAAAGGAGCCTATCTAGTGCTCAGGGAGGGAAGGTGGGGAAATGGGAAAGGAGATCATGGAGGAAGAAGGTGTCCTTGGACTCAGTGGGGAACCAAATCAAAGAAAGGCAGGTGCTTCCCAGGAGAGCAGAGTCTTGGGAGCAGGTGCCTGCTCATGCTTGTCCCTCCACACTCTATGCCCTTTCTTCCTCCTTTCTTTCCATTCACTTTTATTGTCCACCTGTGTGTTAGATCCTGCATGAGGAGTGGGTATAAAGATAATAGAAGAGCCCTTAACCTCAAGTAATTAAGTAGTAAAGCTAATAACCAACAAGTTCAACAAAGTAAATTATGTAACCATATCACGGGGCCTATGTTAATAAATGTGTCCTCGCCCAGTGGGCCTCAATGGAGGACATGGGCATTTCTACCCAGCAGCCAAAAGTTCATGTAGCTGATTTCACTAACAAGCTTGTCCTCAAAATTTCTCCACATCTATGCTTTGGAATAAAAGAGAATAAAGAGACCAGAAAACTAAGTGCAATGAAAGAATTTTGATTGGGTCTTGTTTGGGGGAAAAAATGTTAGAAGACATATTGGGGAACATTTTGGAAAAAAAATTATGTGGATTGAGAATAGGCAACATTAGGTGAATATTATTAAGTTTATTACTAAAGGTGAATATGTAGGAAAATGTCCTTATTTTCAAGAGATGGTTGTTTTTCTTATATTGATATGGATTAAATGTATATCTGTATGTATATGGTAAAATGCAGACAATCTAAATGAGAAATATGTCTCCACAATATTATTCTTTTGAGTTTTCTACATGTTTAAAAATTTTTCATAATAAAAAATCTGATAATTCTCTCCTCTTGCAAGTTGTTGTAAAAATGTCTGCAGTAGAATAAAGCCTTTTGTGTGTCCATTACCTAATAAATAATCAGAGATGACATCTGTCACGGACCAGGTGATGCTTGAGTGCTAACGTGCATTTTCTTCAGTCCTCACAGCAACACTGCCTTGTGTATGGACTGTCCTTTACAGAGGGCACACTGAGGCTTGGCAGAATGAAGTACCCATCCCAAGTCACACAGTTGGTAATTAGCAGAGCCAGATTCCAACATGGCTTTCATCTGGTTCCAGACTACCCACTTTTTTTTTTTTTTTTAATTTCTCACTGTTCTGATGACTAAAACTTCTGGGATCAAGGCACCAGCAAATCTGGTGTGTCTGGTGAGAGCCTGCTTTCTGGTTCATAGATGTAATTTTTTGTGTCTTCCCATGACAAATGAAATGAGAGACCTCTCTGGGGCCTCTTTTACCATGGTGTTACTCTTATTTATTTATCCCTCTAAAACAATTTTTTTTATTTGTTCTTTTTGGATATACATGAGTAGAGTGTATTTTGACATAGTATACAGATATGCGGTACAACTTCCCATTCTTGTGGTTGTACATGATGTGGAGTTTTGCTGATCATGGATTCATATATAAACATGGGAAAGTAATGTCCAATTCATTCTACTGACTTTCCTGTTCCCATCCCCCCTCCCTTTCCTTCATTCCTCTTTTAATCAAATAAACTTCTATTCTTCCCCTGCCCCCTTATTGTATGTTACCATCCACATATCAGAAAAAACATTGAGTGTTTGGGTTTTAGGGGATTGGCTTATTTCACTTAGCATGGTACAGACTACCCACTCTTTTTTTTTCTGTGTGAAGTGTTGTTTATTAATTTTTTTAAAATTATAATTTGTTATGTATGACAGCAGAAAATGAATTACAATTCATATTACACCTATAGAGCACAAATTTTCATGTCTCTGGTTGTACACAAAGTAGAGTCACACCATTCGTGTCTTCATACATGTACTTAGGGTAATGATGTCCATCTCATTCCACCATCATTCCTACCCCCCTGCCCCTTCCCTTCCCCTCACTCCACTTTGCTATATCTAGAGTTTGTCTAATCCTTTCATGCTCCTCCCCACAACACCATTATGAATCAGCCTCCTTATATCAGAGAAAACATTTCGCATTTGTTTTTTTGGGATTAGCTCACTTCACTTAGTATTATATTCTCCAACTCCATGCATTTACTGCAAATGCTATGATTTTATTCTCTTTTAATGCTGAATAGTATTCCATTGTGTATATATACCACATTTTCATTATCCATTCATCCACTGAAGGGCATCTAGGTTGATTCCACACTTTAGCTATTATGAATTGTGCTGCTATAAGCATTGATGTGGCTGTGTCCCTGTAGTATGCTGTTTTTAACAGACTACCCACTCTTAACAGCAACCCTCTACTTAAAAACTCCCAGAAAAAGCCTTGAAACGAAACGCCTAGTTGAAGGAATGGTGACAGGGATCATTGCCATGGTGAATGAGGGAAAGGGTATAGAAAGAGGAAGTGGGAAAGGGAGACATGGCCTCACCCTATGCGCCAAATTCCTCCCTAGATCATTGCTGTGAAGGGCAGCCTGTTAACCTGCGAGTACAAACAACCATTACAGGATCCTTTCCTGGTTTGCTAGGGAACAGAAAGGCCTCCAGCATCTGCCAGGGAAGGAGAGACCTTGGTGAGTGAGGGAAACGGAAAAGAAAGAGGAAGTGGGGAGGGACTGTGGCCTCGCCGTATGGGCTTAAAATTGTTGGGGGCAAATTGAAGCTGTCAGACAGGTATTTTTGACAGGAGCAGCAGACAAAATGTTTTCTGTTTAGTAGAAAAATTGCCATGCTGTTTCACATCACTAATGAGACCTGGAAAAATATCATGACTGAAAGATATAATGGTGTTTTCTTCCCAGAAGGTGGCTTAATCAAGGTCTCATTGTGTCTGGAGCCTGAATGACTGGCCCACCACCATTCAGGACACGCAAGGCAATTTGAGAGAGCTGAGCAGGGCTGGGCTGCTATGAGCCATCTACGCCCTCTCACCTAGTCCCCTTCATGACCTGGGCCAGAGAGAGCAGAGGGCAGGGTGTGCCCAGCCAATTGGCTTTTTACAGGAATTTCAACTAAGACCTCAACCTTATTTGCCCTCGGCTCCAGCCTCCTGACTAATGAGCCCGTGCACATGGCAAAGCCTGAGTTGCTTAGCCAGCCTGGCAGACCCACCACGTACTCATCCAGGGTCAAGTTGTGCTTTGCTCTTGGTGTAGGAAGTGTAAGAATTGGAGAAATCATGTAAGAAGTCAGGAGGACGTAAATATTCCAAGAACCAGTCTCCCAGGGATTTGGCATTAGAACAAAAGTCACTTTTTTTCTTAAACCTCAATTTTTCCTCAGAGGACAGTTATCTTAAAGATGTCCATTTAGTAGACCGATCTAAGTCTGGATGAACCACTTAGGCAGTGGGGCAAAGGGCCCTTATGTAGAATGTGGGGACTGCACCAGGATGTTTGCTTTAGTTATTTTAAACGAACACAATTGTGCCAGCAGATCTCAAATTTCTAGAAAAATCACAGCATTGCAACAACAGACCTTTCCTTCCACTGTGGACCAGGAGCACCACACTCTGAAGTTGGTCTCGGAAGACAAAGAGTTGAAGTCATTTCTGATGATTTCTGATAGGCAAAATTCATTTTGACTCAGAGGAAAAAGAAATTGAAAGGTACAGAAATGACTGCCATTTTAACAATCCCTAAATTAAAATTAGCATTCCGAGGGGGGGAAAGTATTTGTTAAGATAAGTAGTTTTCATGGGGGCATTATCTCCTAAAGGTGTCCCTAGTCCCAAATAGTACTCCCACCTCTAATCCACCCTGTGTATCACACATGACTATGAACATCCTATGAACTGCTGCAATTTCCCTCATTAAAAGTCTTTGTGACCCATTTCTCTCAACCAACCCCCCACCTCACAACTGATCTCCCTTTCCCTGGATTCTCTAAGCAATAAAATGCCCTTCTTCCAGGGAACAATTTTTCTGAAAGGTTAGCATTCTCTCCTGCCCTTTACAATCTGAAATGCACCCTCTTAATTTAGCCTGCAAGGCTTGCCTGACCTTTGTCCTGTCCACTTGGCCCAGACATATCTGCTGCCACACCCCCACACGCACCCTTTGTTCCTGTTACAGACTTCTCTGAATTTTCACCCTGTCTTTATTATGGCGTCTATCTGTGCCTTTGTGCTCATGGCTTCTTAATCTAGAATGCTCTCCCTCCAAGTCCATAGAGTAAACCGAGGCTTGAAGATTCTGTATGAATCTTCACGAATAAACCACATCCTCAGCAGAGCCCATCCAGAATTCTCTCTTTCTACACACACACACACACACTCACATACCATACCCCCTGCCTCCTCCCCAGCACACAGTGATCACACCACTTACCAGTACTTACTGTTCACACCTCTGCTGCCCACACAACACTAGGAGCACTTCCTTGGGGACAGAACCCATGAGGTGCTCATCTTTGGGTTCCCAGTTCTTCACACACTGCCTGGCACTCAGTAGGTGCTTCTTATTCTAAATCCTCCAACCATCAAGGTCAGGCTTAAATTCTCCCTGTCAAGTCTTCCTTGACACTCCACAGGAAAAATGTGTCTGCTGTGTCCTGCATCGCCTGTAAATCAGTACTTCTGTCTCTCTGAACACTTGTTTTATTTTCTGGGATGTTAAAATTTTGTTCTTCTAAACTGAAATATGCTTTAGGAAAGTCAATATTTTATACTTTCTCCTTCCCCTTCACCAAGGTTTGGTTGCTCATTAATTATTTTAGTTGGTCCTTCAAGACGTCAACCTCAATTGTTTTCAAGTCTCTTAGCTTGTGTGTGTGTGTGTATGTGTGTGTGTATGTATATATATATATATATAGTTACCCAAAGACAGACTACATTGCCCCCCTGCCCCCGCCCCGCCACTCAGAGGCCTAGAGTTTCTGTAAGATGAATGTTTTATGTTTGGAAGTTGCAGGGACGCAATGGCCTAACAGGATAAAAAGTCCTGGCATCATGCCCTGGCCACCTTCCCCATTGTCGGTCCTCCTGCTTGGCCTCTTCCCAGTCTGGGCTCTGTTCTCCCTTCCCAGGGCCAAAGGATTCAGAGACAACCCCAGATTTACACATTGAAGTCCTTCTGATTTTCTTGGTGTAACTCCTGTGGTCTGGCTCTTGCTGTTCCCGTAATGCTCCATCAACAGGACCTGCAGCTCGGTAACTTACCACGGCTCAGTGAAGGGGGAAAAGGAATATAAATTGCTTCTTTCAAAGTGACTTTGGAAACACTTTTCTTTCCCCCAGTGTCACCATTTCAAAAGTTCTAAAATGCAGATCTGGAGAACAAGAAGAATGTGGAAAACACTCCCCTTGACCTTCTGCCTGACACTCTTTATCACCTGAAGAGTCTAGTTGCCTGGAGGCCTTTAGCCAGGATGGCTGTGTGCCAGTGTCCCCAGGCTGCCGTGGGAGGTGGGGGAGCTGCATTCACAATGGCCTCAGGGTTGGGACCTGCCATCAGGAAAGCAGCTGGCATCTTCACCCACACCCTCCCTTCACCTTGAAGACCCCACCTTATCATCCCTTGGCCATCTTGTCACAAACACCCCTCAAAGGTCTTGGCAGAGAGCCAAGAATTTTGTTGAAGGAAATGAGTCTGGTTTCAATGTCAGGTCCCCCAGCACCCCAGCCTGTATCCTTCAGATCCTGGGCTTGAGTGTTGTCAAGATGGGAAGCTAAATCCATGCAGCTATGCAGACTCAAGGAGTGGGAAGGTGTTAAGGACACAAGGACAAAGTCAAGGACTAGTTAGTTATCGGAGAGGTGGTTCCGGGCCAGCCTGGGAAGGACAATGTGATATCATCACTGTTAACCAAGGATGACCCAAACCAAATCCCAGATCCGAACCCCTCCAAGTATGTCTGTGGTGTGGGGTGCGGGGAGAGCCAAGCTGCTCACAGCATCTTGGAGACTGTAATAGCAAGTGTTAGAACTCAGTCTGGGGATGTCTAGGTTTGGGGCAGGAAATAAAACTTTGTATCTTAGTGAGAGAACACTGAATTATTCAAGGCAGGGTCTTGGTCCAAATCACAGAGCAGATTCATAACAAGGAATCAGGATACTTAAGTGGGCTACAGGCTGAGGGTATCTCCTCTTCTTCCTACTGAGTGCCAGGCCTGGTCCTAGACTTGGGCAGGACTAACCTTACAGATAGAGCTAGATGATCAGCACCACAAGGAAGAGAACCAATCCTACCTCACTCTCTACTCAGTAGTGCCTGGCACATAGTAGATGCTCAATGACCACTTTTTTTTTTCAATAAAGGTATTTTTTTAGTTGTTGATAGACCTTTATTTATTTATATGTGGTGTTGAGAATCGAACCCAGTGCCTCACACATGCCAGGCAAGTGTGCTACCACTGAGCCACAACCTCAGCCCTCAATGACTACTTATTTAGTGAATAATCATTGTGTAATTTTTGGGGGGACAAAATCAGGATGCCTGGCTCAGCCTCTCTCCACTAAAAGAGCAGAGTCAGTCTTGGTCCTGTAGGTTCTATTACCAGGTGTCTGTCTAGACCTGTGGTGTGAGTATGTCCCCCCACAATTCATATCTTGGAAACTCATTCTATTGCAGTGTTGGGAGTTGGGAGGTGTTTGGATCATGGCAGTGGGGCCCACATGAATAAATAATTCCTTTCTCATAGGAATGGGTTAGCTATTGGGGAGTTTGGCCTCTTTCTCTTCTGCATGTACCTGTTTGTCCTTCTTTCTGTCATGAATTGAAGTAGCATAGGGCCCTTTTTAGAAGGGAAGATGTTGGTGCCTTCCTCTTGGATATCTCAACCTCCTGAACCATGACTCAAAGTAAACTTCTTTATAAACACTCAGTCCCAAGTATTCTGTCATAGCAACAGAAAACAGACTAAGACGGAACCCATACAGCTCTAGCTTCTAGAATTTTAAAAAATATTTTTTTTAGTTGTAGTCAGACACAATATTTTTATTTATTTATTTATTTATTTATTTATTATATGGTGCTGAGGATCAAACCCAGTGCCTCCTCACACTAGCTAGGCTAATGCTCTGTCACTGAGCCACGACCCCAGCCCCTCTAGATTTGTTTTGACAAACACAAATATAGTGCTTGGCATGTGTCAGCCAATAAGGACTAATTTAATTCTCATATAACCCTCTGAGGTAGGTACTTTTATTAACTGCATAAAATAGAAAGTCAAGTAACTGACTGAGGTTATACAGTAACCAGTAAGTAACAGAGTCTGGAAATGAAGCTGGGCTTTCTGACTCTAGAGCCCATGCTCACATAGTCTAGTGCAAAAGCTAGAGGATCCACACCCACACTACCCCTGGGTGAGAATTATATAGCATTGATCTATGACCCTCTGGAAGCCATGCACCATTGCTAAGCATCCTGACAAGTCTAAGATGCTGGTGGTAGCTATCAGATGTAGGAAGGCTTTCCCCTGCCTCTGCTCATCTCTGAAACACAAACAAGACACTTGCTAGCAAAGCATTGCTTTGTAATATAGCTCCCAGGGGCCTCCTGGACTTGGCCACATGCAGTCACACAGGTCTCTGTACCCTCTCTCTCTGCTCAGCAGGGTCCCAAGGCTTGGTTTAATGCTTTGCTGTTGCTGCCCTGAAATTCCTAATACTTTTTGAAGGAGAGTTCTGGGCTTTTAATTTTGCTCTGGGTCCAGCACATTAGTCCTGCCTATGCTTCTGAGCTGTCCTTCAGATTCATTCTGATTTCCTTTCTCTGGCCCTCCCCCTCTCACCCACAGGAATCCACCTCTTAAGATCTTGGTAAATTCTTGTCATTCTTAGGTGTTAGGAGAGCATGCAGATCAACTCCAGTTCTTAAGAGTCTCTTACTCTAATCTGTTTCTCTTGAAGCTGATTAGGTATTTCTTTTCATAAGATCTGAGGACTCTGATATTCCCTCCTTCCCCCCACTTTCTCTCCATACAGACTTCACTCCTAATCTCTTAGCTCCCTGCCAATGTAAGGGTGAGATAAAGGCTATGAGGTCTGAGGCATGTTGTCAGCAAAGAGAAACCCCAGTCAAAAGAGAACACCCATTAGCCTGGATAAAAAGAGATTTAAGAGACATGTCACAAAACTCATGTGTGGATCTCATTTAGATCTTGATTCCACTAAACCAACTATAAAAAGATATTTTTTAATCAATCAGAAAATTTTGAATATAGACTGGGTATTAAATGATATTGAGGAATTTTGCTTTATTTTTTTTAGGCGTGAAAAGGTATTGTGATTATATAAGAAAATGCCCTTATTTCTTTTAGACATCATATTGAAATATTTAAGGGGTGTTATGATATTTTATCTGGGATTTGTTCTAACATGCTTTAGTTAAAAGAGAGAAAGAGAGGGTTGGGGAGAGAGAGAGACTTATAAAACAAATATGGTATTGCTGCTTGTTGAAATTGGCGATGGGATTTCTCGTACTTTCTTTGTGTATGTTTGGGAGGTTTTCATAATAAATAGTGAAAAGTGAAAGAGATGAAGAGGGACAGAGAGTGTCCAGACCACAAGGTTTCTAGAAGAGTAGAAGCAGATGTTAGGTCTCTGTGAGTGAGCTATTTTAATCAACTTTGCGGTCTCCTCCAAACATAATCTTCTTGAGTTGTTTCAGGGATGGTAGGAATAGCTTTGTAGAACCATCCCGACCGACTCTCCAGCCTGTTCTCTGTTGGGATCAGTAGCTTGTGAGGCCATGAGTCCAATAGGAGCAACTGAGGATCCAACTCATGACCTGGTCATATTAGCCTCCTTCCCTAACTTCATTGCATCTAAATCCTGTTCCTCCTCTGGACCTGGCTCAGGTGCTGCCTTCTAGATAAGGTTTTCTGTGTCCACTTGGCCAATTCCAATCCCTTTATCCTGATTTCCCACGGCACTTACAGTCCAACATCTGGCATTTCACTGTCATTTGGTATGGAGTTGTTCCTGAATCATTTTGTGTGACCCAGTCTCACTCTCCCATAAGTCGCAGTTTCCTATGCCTTCTAATCTGGGAGGTTTCTGAACGGGCCTCTACCATGCTGAGCATGCAGAGCCCCTCCGCGCATTCTTACGTTCATTCATTTTTTTCCTAAGGTACCTGCTCTATGCTAAGCTCTTGCTAAATGTCGATAACTCAGCAAGGAACAAGATAGACTCAGTCTCTGCCCTGAAACACTTTCAGATGAGGACAGACAACATTAAACAAAGAACTGCACCACAAAACAATTCAAAACACTCACTCATGGAGAGTGTTGTAACGCAGCTACCGTGGAGCTCTGACGTGCAGCACAGGAGACCTGGCCTGCTCTGGACAGTCAGGAAAGGCTCCCCTCAGGAAGTGACTTTAGGAAGGGACTTAAAGGAAATGTAATAATTAGCTTGGCAAGAAGGGGGGGGGGGGTGCAGCATTCCAAGCAGAGCAAACAGCATGGGATTGGCCCCTGGGGGAAGAACTCTGGCATGCCAGTAGAAATATAGTTTCACAGGCAAGCAGAAACCAAGGTGGAAAATAGGCCTGCTTCTTGAACTGAGAGGAATGTTGAAGTGTTTGAGTTCATTGGAAACTGGAAGCATCTGGGTTAGATTGTTGAAGGAATAGCTTTCAATTTGTTCTTGTTCTGCTTTGAAATGTACTTGATAGTAGAGGATAGGAAAGGTAGCAGAACATGACAGTCACAAGTATGGCAATATGTAAATCAATGGATGTGTAATTGATGTGATTCTGCAATCTGTATATGGGCTAAAAATGGGAGTTCATAACCCACTTGAAGCAAAGTGTGAAAGATGATATATCAAGAACTATGTAATGTTTTGAACAACCAACAATAAAAAAAAAAAATGTACTTGAAATGTAAGCAGTATTCTATTTCTTTGTCCATTGAATCTAGGCTTGGTTAAGTGACCTTCTTTGGCTAATGGGAAGATAGCAATCGTGGTACATGAAGACACTCTCACTGGTGGGACACTTTTGCCACCATGTGAACAGCCTGGTCCCGCCTGCTTGAGAATGAAAAGAGGCACCACATGTATTCATTTTCCCAGGATTCTACATGAGGCCCCAGACATGAATGAAAACATGCTAGACCATCCAGCCCCAACCAACCTAACCAGTCCAGACCAGGAAAAAAAAAAAATCCATCTAACCCATACCATCATGAACTCCAATGAATAGTTGCATTGATACAGACTGACGCTTGTGTCTCCCAAAATTCGCATGTTAAAATTCTTCCCTCCTAATCTGGTGGCATTAGGAGTTGGGGTATTTGAGAGTTAACTGGACTAGATGAAGTTATAGGGGTGGAACCCCTCACGAATGGTATTAGTGCCCTTATACAATGTGCACAAGCAGCTCATTCCTTCCCCAGTATGAGGACGCAGATCTTAGAATGTGCTGCCTTTAAAACAGAAAGCCCTCACCAGACACCAAACCTGCTAGCACCTCAATCTGAGACCACTTAGCTTCCAGAAGGGTGAGAAATAAATATTTTTTGTTTGAGTCACAACAGTTTATGGTATTTTTTGAATACAGCCCACACCAACTTTGTCATTTAGGTTGAGAAGTTTGGGGCTGGTGTGTTATGAAAGCTGATAGATCATCCTTACATTGGCACACTGTCCACTAACTCTGAGGTACGAAGCACCGTCGACACTAGGGATACCTTAATAAGTTAAAATTCAAAGGTTGTAATGCAGTGGAGAGATACCTATTAAAAGATTAGTAACACTGCAGTTCAAAATAATAAATGTAAAATAAGTTTCATTGATAACATACTATGAGAATCAGGAGGACAGAGGGATCCCCAAGGCAGAGACTGGGAATCTCCAGTTCAGGAGCTGGATCTTCAACTTGATCTTGAAGAGCACTGACTTAATCTTAGGTAACTGGAGAGAAGCAGAGGCAGGATCCCCAAGAAGAGTGCAAACATGCTCAGGAAACTGGTGGGCAGCCTGGTTTGGCCAAAGCATAATGACTAAGAAAGAGAGCAATGGGAGGTAAAGTTGGAATGGAGTCAGGTGAGGCAATTGAGAGCTGGAGACCTGGTATTAGAATTTAGCAAATAAAAATACAGATACTCAGTAATATTTGGGGCATATTTATACTAAAAAATTTGTTGTTGTTTATCTGAGATTAAAATTTAGCTGTAAATTCTGCTTTGTTTGCTTGTTTTTATTTAATCTGGCAACTCTAGCTAGAGTCACAAACTCAAATGACTACAAAGGCCAGGAGAATTTTTTAAATGAGCAATGAGGACAGCACAGTGTATTAGTTTCCAATTGCTGCTATCACAAATCAGCACAAATTTAGCAGTTGGAAGCAACACACATTTATTATCGCACATTCTTGAGGTCAAAAATTCACAATGCAGCATCAGAACTGTGTTCTTTTTGGCTCTGCCCTCATGAATGAATTAATGCTGTATCATGGGAGTAGTTTCATTGTAACAAGAGTGAGTTTCTGACCAAAGAGTGAGTTCTGTGTCTCTCTTTGTCTCTTTTGGGCATTTACACATTTTTTTTTTCTTACCAGGTGATACTCTTCATCATGGAATGATGCAGCAAGAAGTCCCTTGTCAGATTTGTACCCCTTGACTTTGGACTTTCCTGCCTCCAGAACTGTAAGAAACAAGTCTCTGTTCTTTATAAATTAGCCAGTCTTAGGGATTCTGTTATCTCACAGAAAATGAGTGAAGACAGCCACATCACACCAGTCCCTGCTTCACTGCCACCAACTTCATGAAATGTGGTCACATCTTTTCTGACTCTGGCCCTCCTGCCTCCTCCTAATTAAGACCCTTCTGATTATACTGGGTCCAGTTGGATCATTTAGAAAAATCTCCCCATACCCAAATCCTTAATTTAAATCACATCTGCAAAATCTCTTTTGTTATTACATAAGGCAACATATTCACCAGTGCTAGGAGTCAGGCATGGACATCTTGGGGAGGGGACATTACTTAGTCAAGATGGGGATAAAAGAAGGAAACTGGGATTGGACAGATAAACTAAGAGAACTTCAACATCTGCCAACTTTTATTTCTTTACTTTAAAAAACCTGTCTGAGACAAATGTGTCAAATTGTATTTTTCAGATTATGGATGGTAGGTATAGTTATATTTTCCCTGTACTGTTCTCTATTAAGTTTTGTTTTTCAAAATTACAAAAACGAAAAATAGGGTTAAAAGGGATTTTTTTTTTGTTCTTATTTTATACCTGTGGAAGGTGTCATATGTCACTGTGTGAATCTATAAGGGAAGAATCAGTCTTTCTTTTTAAGAAAGAAAACAGGACCTTGATTTCACATATGAAGGGACCTTAGAAAACAGCTGGGACAGTGGTTGTTAAATTGCTGGAAAAGCCATGGCTTAGGGCAGTTCTTCAAGGTGTGCTGAAGCTCAGTCCAGGGTCTAGAAACTCTTCTGTCTTAGTCCAGTTGCTGCTGCTATAACAGAATACCCCAGGCGAGGTAAATCATAAACAATAGAAGTTTATTTACCTTAGGTTCTGGATGCTGGGAAGTCCAAGATCAAGGGGCTGCATCTTGCTGTGTGAGATGAGGGTCTTCTTGCTGCATCATAACATGTGAAAGGGAAAGTGAGCATATATGAGGCAGAAAGAGAGGGCCAGAGGGGGCCAAATTTATTAACAACCCCCTCTATCAACTTGCATCCACAAACACATTTCCTGATAATGACATTAATCCATTCACAAGGGCCCTTAATCACCTCTTAAAGGTCCCACCCCTTCATACCATCACAGTGGCAGCTGATGAGTCCTGGAGAGGATATTCAAACCATAGCATCCTCCTCTTACCCAGCCTTATCACTCCCACCCTTCCCTCAATCAAAGCACCTCTGCTTTTACCTGTTTTTTTTTTTATGTGAGCTCCACATAAGATGATGTTATTTAAAGCAATCTTCTGTCATTTAAATACATAGAAACACACACTTTTCAAACTGCTAATCTATCTAAGCTTCATCACTGTGTGATAAAGGAATCCGAATTAAGACAGATGAAGTGACTTGCCTAATATTGAGATAACATAAAAGGTGTTGTTATTGCTTAGTAAATATCTTTTCTTGGGGGTTGGAGGCCAGGCTGTTGTTAACCCACAGAGGAAAGCCTTAAGATCTTCCAGTAACTGGAATTGTTTTCTCTGAACACGTTTCCTGAAGTCAAGGCAGGGGTGTGGAGATGAGGAAGGAGGGGGGTGTTTCTTGAGAAGGAGCGGGCCTTTGTTCATCCTCCTGCCTCCGATGAATAAAGAAACTGCTGGAAAAAAAGGACTGTTAGGAAGAGGAGGATAGATAACAAATCTTTACCTTTTAAAAAAATAGTTTTAAAAATACTGATTCCTCAGAGCTCGGGTGAACAGAGGTAGGTTTTCCCCTTGGTGTCCTTTTACTCTCTCTTGTTTTTGTGAAAGCGTACGTTTTCCTAATTCTGTTCCTTGAGTCTGCTTTTTGTCTGTCTGTCTTTTGTTTTACTTTTGTGTTTATTTATTTGAAGTGAAAGGACAGGACTGGGAGTCATCTCTCTTCAGGCCTATGTGGCTCTATCCCAGAGGAGATTCTCTTTGCCAAGTGTGGAGTGAGCATTGTATAGACGTTTGGAGGATCCGTCAACACAGGAGAGCAACCCCAGATCCTTGGGGCCTCAAAGCAGAGGGAGGAATGAGCCAATCCCAAAACATCCACTTGGCCATGTGCCGTGCTAGGTGACCTTTAGTGAGCTGTGGAGAGCCAGCATTCACTTCTGGAGACTGTCAGTCTGAAGGTATTGAAAATTTTTTCATTGGCACCTGACAAACGACTTGATTTCTAAGTGAAGAGGTGCACTAAGATGTTGCCCTCAACATCTTAGGACTAGTCCTTTGTTGCAGGCATTTGTAGACTATTGTGTTTCCTGTTGGTGGCCTGCTCAACTTCTATTTCTCCTTTCTTCCTTGCAAACAGAATTCCAATTTTGTTCATCTATTTTTTTTCTTTTGAGGCTCAAAGATGACCCCATCCCCAGTTCCAAAGGTAAGTATTGATCAATCTAATCAGCCAATTATGGTATTTCCACTCTCCTTGCCAAGGAACGGTTATGTAACACAGCTCTGGCCAATGGGGCATGAAGAAAAGTATTTGGAGTTGGCAGAGCATCTGGGAAAGAGTCACAGAAAGGGATGGTCTTTCTCTTGAGTACTGTGTCTAGATGAAATTCCTGTAGCCATTGTACTATTAGCCTGAGAATGAATGTCAACACACTGCGAAGATAGAACCCAAACTCCTGAGATGATCTCCTGGAGCTTTTGAGACACCTGTGGACTAGTATGTGATACAATGATTTCTTATTGTTCAAAGTATTAACTTGAGGGTTCTCTTTCTTGCATCAGAAATCATCCTGATATCTCTACATTAGTTCGTTTACTCTCACTGCTGTCCAGGTGGTATCTATTTTCTTTTTATAGGTTAAGAAATGCATTTAAGTTAATACAGTTAGTAAGCAGTAGATCCCAAATTCAATCCAGTTCTCTGTTCAAGGACATGGGACCCACCTCTTCCCCTGAGTGCAAGGGCAGAATTTTGTTCACCAGTGTCTACTAAGTGCCTGTCACGTACTACATAGTAGCCATTGAATGAATTAGCCCAATCCCAGCTTTATTTTATTACCTTATACCTTTAATTTAGAAATATCAGTTAACTTCTATTTCCAGAAAAAAGATCAGCTTTGCATTGCTGTCTTCAAAATACCTAACAAGAGCTGCTCGCGGTGGCGCATGCCTGTAATCCCAGCGGCTCCAGAGGCTGAGGCAGGAGGATCGCAAGTTCAAAGCCAGCCTCAGCAAAAGCAAGGTGCTAAGCAACTCAGTGAGACCCTGTCTCTAAATAAAATACAAAATAGGGCTGGGGATGTGGCTCAGTGGTCGAATGCCCCTGAGTTCAATCCTGGTACCTTCCCCAAGGAAGATGAAGACATCCAGGACATACCGCCAGTGACCCACCTCCTCCATCCATGCCCCCTCCTGCCTACACTTACCACCTACTCAGTCCATTCAAACTAGAATGAATTGACTAGTTACAGCTCTCATTATCTAATCATTTTATCTTTGATTATTCCTGCATTAACACAGAAGCTTTGGGAAGACACCTCAGATTCAAACCAAAACAACCAGATATCCTGAAAAAATCCTGTCACTATCAAGTTCCTAAAAGTACTTGAAAATAAAATTTAGGCTTTTAAAATGCATTGCAGTAGCACTGTAATCCCAGTGATTGGGAGTCCGAGACAGAAGGATTACAAGTGTGAGGCCAGCTTCAGCAACTTAGTGAGGCCCTAAGCAACTTATCAAGGTCCTGTATCAAAATAAAAAGCCAAAAGGGCTGGGGATGTGGCTCAGTGGCTAAGTGCCCCAGGGTTCTAGCCCCAGTACCAAACAATAAAACGAAATAAAATGTATTGCTGAGCTGGTGTGTGTTTTTGTGTTTGCATGCATACCCACACAACTAAAAAGCAAGCAAGCAAACAAAAAACCTTAAGTAATAGCACTGATTCAGAGAGATAAGTGAATGCTAAAGCCAGGGATACCCTGAGGAGGAATCTGTCCATTGCTGGTGACCACAGGGCCCACTGAAGTGATAGATAAGATTGGACAGATAAGATGTGTACCCAAAAAGGCAATCCTCAATTCAGGTTTGGGGTCCAAATTCATTGTACTTGCATATTTTTGAAAAACCTCCAGTTAAGAACTTTATTAAAATTGCTCTCAGGTATATAACATTTTGGATGCCTATAGGGAGCAAATATAAATCTCTCTGGATGTACACACCATCCTCAGTCCTCAAAAACTCCAACAGGTAAAGAGCTGATGAATATTATAGGGAAGAAAAACCTTTTCCTGAACCCTCTTTTGATTGGTAGCTAAGGCCTACAAATTAAACCAACAAAAGCCAGATTAACCACAGAAAACAACAGAGTTTATTTATCTGTGCTACACACACATTAGAACTCGGTGAGGAGTAACTCAAAAGGAGAAATTAAAATTTGGGGCTTATCTAACATGTTAGCAGGTGCATAGAAGGGGAAGAAGGTGTCCACAAAAAACAACTGACTATTTGGAAAGATAAATAGATTTTTAGGAGAACAAAAGGAGATAAGAAAGCCTGTGATGATGTTTATCTATGTAGTTATGTGCGGTCCTCCTGTCTTGTCAACCTAAATTACACAGTAGAGAGACTGACTCCAGAGCCAAGAGTTTTTTTGGGAAGAGCAGAGCATTGCAATGGGATCCACATGCTTTGGTGGATCATGGGCACATATAAAGAGATTGGGGCAAAGGAGATGCTTTTAAAGACGAGACAGGGGGAGGGATGGAGGCAGGGAGGGGAAGGAAGGAAGAAATCCATGTAAGCTGTTTTGAAAGCCAAACCATTGGAGTTGAATGAGCCCGTTGGTGGAATAGCTTTGTTAGGCAAGTGTCGTTGTACAAGTGCCTATTTGTAATACTTGGGTTTTGAGGAAATCCGTTGCATGGTTCTTATCATATGCATACATGCATGAAAGCATCCTGGCTTCATTTAGTTAGAATTTGACATTGGTGACTCCATTTTGATATTGCTAATTTCCACAGTCCCCTCCAAGGGCATTAAACTACTACTAGAGTTTGGGGTAGGTTTGATTCTCCTTTCTGGGGGTAGATGTGCCTTGAAGAGGAACTTATAGCAACCTTATTTCTCAGAAGTGGCTGTTTTTAGTAGGATAAAGGAAACTTCAAGAAGGCTTGCTTCTTGACTCTGTTAAATCTTACATTTATTCTTCAGCTTGAACTAAGCTTTATATCAACTCTAGGGTTCTGTGTGGTTTCCCACACTATAAAGTCACAGTGGTTGTAAACAAACCATAAAATTCATTAAAACAAAGCACTATGAGTGAAAGTCAGCAGAAACAATAAACAGAAACATCACTTTGCAAATATTTCAGATATCAGAATTATAAGACCAGAATATAAATGAAATACATTTAGTATCTGTGGAATGAGGAAAGAAGTCTTAGGAGCAGGAAAAAAAAAGGGTGAGAAAATTAAGGTCTTGAACTTGTATCTTTCTTGAGAGGTACAGTTAACATATATTAGTTATTAAAATAATACAACAGTATATAGGAGTCATAAAGATTCTAGCAATGCAAAATGTAAGGAAATTTGAATTTGTAAATTTGAAAGTTATTGGATGATTCTAGTAGAAAAATATGAAGTCTTTAGAGCACACCTTTTAGGATTATGTGATTCTAAACTTTCATTGCCTTTTATCTCTTTTATAGCTCTGTAAATAGTAGAGAACTGATAGCAATGCAAAAAGATTCTTGTCTATAAATGTGCAAATGAGTTTTGTTCAGTGAAGGGGCAATAAACCTTTTTCCCACCTTAGAAAAAAGTTTTGCATTCATTTCAGTATTTCTGATCTGTAAATGTGTCTTTTGTATTCCCTTGAAATCATTTTAATATTGTTAAGACAGACCATTTCATATGAAGATGCCTCCATACTTGGGTCCTTCCATAAAGATGAACTTCAACCTCACTTAGTATGTAACTGAAAGTCTAATTTAGGTATATATGTATATACATATTAATGCTAGGGATTGAACCCAGCTGATGCTAGGCATCAGCTCTACCACTGAACTACACCCCCAGCCCCTAGAGTATACTTTTGTAACAAGCAGCAGAATCTCAACCAATCACAACAGCCAAGCTTCAGTCAATCACAGGAAGCAGACAGATCAGACCACATTCAAATAAGGCATATGTTGAGTTGTAACCCATCCAGCTGTCACTGTACCTCACTTCCTATTTCTGACCACAAAATGTTACTTGACCATGTTGCAGGTCAGAGTTCTCTGAACCTGTTCTGGTTCTGAGGACCGCTCCTTTCATCATTCTTTGCTCAGTTAAAGTCTGTAAAATGTCGTTTGTTTCAAGTTTTTCTGTTAACAACATGTACCTAATCCTTTCATTAATAACATGCTTTAAAAATCCTTAGCATATGCTCATTTTGTATCTGTAAGAGTCACAGTTTTACCTTTTTTTAAAGTTTGTCCTTTAATAATAGTATAAAGAATAATAAAAATAAACTGAAGAGTAGAAAGACTCCTTTATCCTCAAACCTTGGGTAACCCCTAAGGATCTGGTATTCCTGGCAGCCAAGTGATCAATGAGAGGTCACTGGGAACTCCTGCTATGTTCAGAGTGTGCTGCCCTCCTCCTGAACAGACTCTATGGGTTTTCCAAGCCGCTGCTCTCAAGGTTGGCAGTATGTCCAGCTCTCTTTGGTGCAGGAATGCCTGGGTTCAAGTCATGATTCGCCACTCAAATCTGAGAGACTTGGGCAAGTCATTCAAACCTTCTCTGTTTCAATGTTCTCATCTATAAAAATGAGGGGAATAATGCAACCTACTTCAAGGGGTTCATGGAAAGATTAAATGAGTAACATATATAAATCCCTTGGGACTAGTACCTGGCCTATTGGTAAAGGAAAGTTTTAGCCAAAGCTATTATTTTTCCTCCTAATTCTAATACCTACTATTAGAATCGACACTGATACATGAAATCACACAGTCTGCGTGATCTAGATGTAACTCCAGCAGAGATGATATTTGGTTATTTCTAAATATTCCTAGAGTTGGTGGCCAGCCCCACTGGGTATAAATGGGGGTAGCCCAGTGAAGGAGGCCATTCACAAACTGATCTGTGGTGTCTTGAAGCCAAATAAGGATGACCTTTGCCTTATTTATAGGTTCAAATTCTTCTAAGGATGAACGACTACCTGCTGTTTTAGCAAAAGAAAAATACCCTGAGGACACCCCAGGCTGGAGCTGCCTGTGAACAGCATCCCTCTTTGAGGTGCCTTCACAAAGCACCTTTCACATCTCCAGTGTGTACTTCTTGAAATACCCTGCATAGTGCCCAGCACATAGTAGG